CTTGGTGACTGTCACAATGTCTGGCATTGTCCATTCCTCTGAGCATGGACTTCAGGACAGCTTCCAGCGCACGGGTAATTACATTCCAAAGTGGGCCCACCCCGAAGTCATTCAACTAGAAAATTACAAGCCACTGCAAGGATGTGCTTCCATATGAACGAGCAAAGGCAGATTCAGCATTCAGCAGGCTGAGGTGCCCGGCAGCTCGATGCATTTTACCACATGACCTAGCATGCTGCCAGCGTCTCTCAATGAACATTTAACTCTCCCCCACCGTAGTCTGCCTGCCTAATCTAGCCTGCTGAGCTTGCAGGTTCTGAAAAGCTGATGCCCCCACCCCCAGCTCTCTAGAACTAGCCACAGGAGGCCTGCAGTCAGTCGGTATGCCTGCAAGCAGAGTAGCAGAGACCACACCAGACCATACAGTCCCCAGGCAAGGGACTCATTCCTGCCGCCATTGGCTGCAGGACCTATCAACACCATCTCCCCATCGACTCTGGTCTGATCCCTACTTCCTTGTGGAGCACCAGTTCCAGGGTGGCTCCCCACTAGGATCTTGGAACAATCACCCTGGTCCCTGATGAGCCCTCCTCACAGGTTCCTCCATTACGCACGGCTGCCCTGGGGAAGACCCAGGTACAGCCTCTAGCCTGACCTTCTGGAAGCAAAGGAAATCCCCACGGTGCCCAAGAGCATGTTGTCTCCCAAGTAGTATTTTATCTTGACTGCTCCAGAATTATTTTGCACAGCGTGCTTCCTGAGTTGGAAAGTTAGGGTAGGTCATGGAACAGCCTGCCTCCATCTTAGGCTGGAAAGCCATCTTATAGTAAAGACAATCTAGATTCATTCCTATTTATTATTAAACCTGTTTCTCAAGGACTGGGCTATGCCGTACCTATAACCTTAACAACAAATGGTTCTGTGCAGCCTATTCCAGGAAATGGCAACCATGTTCTTGTTTCAAAAAGTTGTTATAACCATCTTGCATCCCTATTTTTATTTCAAAGATTATTATAACCATTTGTTGTTATGGCTACCTTGTTATGACCAGCAAGGGTGTTATATTTTGCTCTTGTAACCCCACATATTTGTCTGGTAACACCCCCATATTTGGAATCTCCCCATCCCTGAGCTATTAAAACCTTGTCTTCCTCACATCTAGTGCTGACCTCTTGAACCCCATCTTAGGTGGAAGCAGCCTGTGTACACGAATAAACAAAGCTTGCTTTAATTAATTTGATCATGATGATTTGAGGCTATCATTGCATCTTTGGGATTATCGTGGGGGCAAGAACCTAGAGCAAAAAGATGGAGTTTGGGGCTGGAGAAATGGCTCAGTGGGTAAGAGCACTGTCTGCTTTTCCAGAGGTCCTGAGTTCAATTCCCAGCAACCACATGTTGGCTCACAACCATCTGTAATGAGATCTAGCACCCTCCTCTGGCGTGTGGGCATACATGGAGGCAGAATGTTGTATACATAATAAATAAATAAATCTAAAAAAAAAAAAGATGGAGTTTTCCGGACTGCAGAGCCAGCTCAGTGGTTAAGAGCACCTGCTGCTCTTGCAGGGGGCTTGGGTTCCCAGCACCCACATGGTGGCTCACAGTCATCTGTAACTCCAGCTCTAGAGGATCTAATACCCTTTTTTAGCCTCTGCAGGCACTGTACATGTGGTACACACATGCATGCAGGCAAACACTCATACACATTAAATAAAACATTCTTTAAAAGATGGATATTTAGCACAATTCTTTTCTTCAAGCTGTATTTCCTTATTTACATACCTAAAACTTTACAAATACCCTAACACATTTCAGAGTAGGAAAAATAACATTAGGGTATCAAAATTCTTTTTTTCCCCCCTCTGATAGCAAAGAAGATGAACCGAGGGTCTTATGTATGCCGGCACATGCTCTACCACTGAGCTACATTTCCAGTTCTGTTTACTTTCTGAGACTAAGTTGTCCAGGATGGCCTTGAACTCATTCCATAGTCCAACCAGATCTTGACTTCATGATCTTCCTGCCTCAGCCTCCCAGGTAACTGGGCTTACAGGATTGTACCACCAGGCCCAATTCAAATTCCATATATAGCCTAAGAGAATCAATGTGTTCACAACCCTTATCTCCAAATCCACACAGGCCAATGTTACATAGACTGGCAGGCCTGTGTGATTTCTCAATGTGAACCAGCCATAAATAGCAAAAGGTACAAACAGTCCTGCTATCCTGCTTGAATGGCCATGACGCAGTGAATACCACCCTCCACGTCAGCTGAGGGAACAACAGAGGCTCATGCCTCTTGGTCTCCACCTGGAGCAGCCAGGGTCCGTCTTCTGTGATGATTAATCATTTTTCCGCTTTTCTTCAAAGTGTCCCCTACATATATAGGTAGATAATAACATGTTTAGGGCCACATGCATTTAAAATTTCCACACCCAGGGACTTATCACAAGGGACGTTACAGCCAGCTTCCTTTTAACGTGCTTTGGGTCATGTATTCACTCTGTAGGAATCTTCTACGATTTCTCTCTCCATCCTCCCTTCTCAGAATGCATGGACCATGCCCAGCTGGGTGAAACACAGGTCCCATGGTTTTAGACGGTTTTGTGCCTCCTGGTGATGGCGACAAGGTTGGGACATGCTTAACATGGAGGAATCAAAATGAACGTGCTTGCTTGTATTAAAAATTAGGGCAGAAACCTAGGAAGTTTCTTAACACCGTGCCTGATAATGCCCACCCCAAAAGACTCTGCCGGAGCCACAAGCTTGTACAGTGGACTGAGCAGCCTCATGCAGAAAGGATTTCTTCAAGGGTTTCTGCCTAGCCACTGTTTGTTCAACCTGGGGCTGGTGCCACATGGGTATTGTCATTGTGACCAAGGATTACTCCTTTAAAATATCTAAAGCAACCCTCATTCTTATCTTTAAAAATGTCCCCTGTCCCTCCCTCCTGGAAGACACACATGGTTCCACTGCAGTGTTCTGTTCTTCCCAAATAAATGCCAGTATCCTCCCATTGCTTTCAGACAGGTGCGGTCTAGCGGAATGGTCTGTGTTACCGGATCCGGACAAACTGCTTTCTAAGGAGCACCGATTTGCTCTGCTGCGTGCTGGGGTGAGGACGCCTCGACTCACAGCATCAATGCCCAGTGACACCAGACCGACACCAGACCTTCTGCTCTGATAGCTGCCCCTCATAAGGACAGTGCCACAGAGAGGTTGGGATGCAGGAGTCTTCTGGGTCATGCTATCTAGCATTGCATTATGCTGTGTATCCCTGGCCTTGGCCTCAGGTGCCCTCTTTCCTATGCCCGGTGAGCATCCACTCAAAAGAGCAATACCCAGGGCTCTGGGCAACAACACCCCCTTCCATCTCACCCAGATTTACCCAGACTCTCGTCTCTGGGTCCCCATGCTCCTGGGCTTGTTAGTACCCGTTGTCCCCCGCCCCCTACCCTGCCCGTTCCATGTTCTTCTTCCTCAATCCTCACTTCCCCGTATAGGACAATACTAGTCCTAGAGCAGCTGCTCGGAGTGCTCGTTGACTGATTTCATCAGGTTCGGAGAAACCTCTTTCCCAGCGGAGTTCAAGTGAAGAAAGTGTAGATTTAGATAGAATGTCAGGCCTGGACATGTTCCCAGGTCTGCATCAGCGTGATACCCACAATGAACTCTTGGGCTGCCCTGCTATGGACAGTGTGTCTCTTTGAATCCTGTCTTGGGCTGCCCTGGAATGGATGGTGTGCATCTTTGGATCCCGTTTTGGGCTTTTAGCTCTCTGTTTCAACTTGAACCCCAAGTCCCGAGCTCTTGAGATCCCAGTCTGGACACTCGAAGCTCAGGGCTTCCTCCCCACAAAGCTCTTCCCCGAGTCCACACAGCTCGTGCATCCCTTCTGACCAGAGCACACAGCAGCCTCCTAACTCTGACCCTTTCCTGCTTCTTCCCCTCAAACCCGGACTCCCACTGCTCCAGCTCTCTACTCAGCAGACAGCCCGGCACGGCTGGCACTTGGCTATGCTCTGGCTTTGCCGCTTGCCCTTCCACCCTCACCTACACTGAAGCGCCCATCTTAGAAGGTCCCGCCACTTGCCATCCTGGGTTCCTCGGCCATTGAGACCCTGAGAGGAGGATGGAGGAGGCTTGTGGTCCACAACAAGCAAAGACAGAGAGCAATGTGTCCTTGCTGGAGGGCACCAGAGGGGACAGAGCAGGCCGGAGGCAAGATGTGGAGGACCAGAAATTCCCATGGTGGACTAAGCACCTCAGGGCCAGGGGGAGCCTCCTGCCAGCTGCCCCCAAGTCTACAGACTCATTCGGCAAGTTCTTGGGACATCATAGACTGTACAGTGCAATTGCCAGGCACCACAAGCTCTGCAAAAGCCAGAGGGGAAAGAAAACCAAGGGAGCATCATCATCTTAAATAAACACATCATCCCAGAAGATATGCCCGATCCTGTGGGCACACACTGTGCGGTGCCTGACTAAGGTGACTTAGGAAGAAAAGGGTTTATTTACTACACAGCTTTAGAGTCTGAAAAATCAAATGGCACAGCGCCAGCCCTGGCTGCATCACCTCATGGTGGACAATAAGGCACAGGAGTTGGAATCAGAACCTGGAGCTGCCTGGCCTTGACTTGGTGCTTTGACTGCTTTGCCACAGGACCTGAGAGATTTGCCTGGTTCTTGCCCACACCCATGGCTCCCTGCCCCTGGCCTGACTCCCTCAGGGTGAGTAGAGTCTGAGGGATGTAAATGTGTGGTCTGTGTCCACAGGTCTAGGCCTCGAGCCCTTCCCACAGTGAGGCAAATCAGTGAGGGTGGAGGAATGATCAAATCCATAGTGAGCTCCGCCTTGTCTCATGGCTGCTGTCCCGCCTAACCGCCATATCACACAGCCTGCCCACCCCAGAGGGACTGCAAAGGAATGCCTTTGGTGTTTACTAAGTGAATCAATGTGCTGCCAATGGGATGTGAGCCGAGGAAAAGCAAAGTCTCCACAACCCTTGCTTGCACGCTGCCTCAGACCTGTTCATTACTTTTGCCAGTTAAGAGCAGCTTTGGTCACTGGGTCATATCCTAAGGAATGACCAACACAGTGGAGGGAGACTGGGACAGTGCTATCTTATCAGCTTTAAGAGTTCACCTCCAGACCCATCAGCTCCGCCAGAAGAAGCTGCTCTCTAACCAAGCTTCCGGAGCCAAGCAAGTCAGATCTGCCAGTGAACCTCCGGCCTTGAAAGTTGACTAGAGTGTCTGATAACCCTATCCAGCTCCTCGATGGCCAGTAACAACACCGCTAGCATAGCACAAGCCAGGAAACTGGTGGAGCAGCTGAAGATGGAAGCCAACATCGACAGGATAAAGGTGTCCAAGGCGGCTGCAGACTTGATGGCCTACTGTGAGGCACACGCCAAGGAAGACCCACTGCTGACCCCAGTCCTGGCCTCAGAAAACCCCTTTCGGGAGAAGAAGTTCTTCTGCGCTATCCTTTAAGTCTCTGAGAGGAAGATGAAGACCGCCGGGCTCCAGGGACATTGATGTAGAGTTTCTAGCAAAGTGGGCGCCTTTCTGGTCTGCAGCATTTAAAGAGAGGAAGGAGAACCATCCTGGACACTCCAGGCTGTGCATGTCTAAAGAATTGTCCCCTTGTGAGAATGGAAGCCAATTCCACACCCAGCTTTAGAGATCTGACCCTGCAGACCTGTCTGGAGGAGGGCAATGTATAAAAAACAAAATCGGTGTCACTTCTTTCCTGCTATCCCTTTAAGATCTTACATTTCTGCTTCATATTTAAAAAAAAAATTAAAGCCAGTGTCTTGAGCTGAGATATGACTGACCTTCTGGGAATGAGAATTGTCTTTAGATGCCCTCTGATAAACTGCTGTCTCATGTAGCCACAGTTCTACTTAATGGCATCCATGTTTAGTCCTTCGTGCCTTGTTCTTTTCCTTCCCTTTCTCTTTCTCTACCCCTCCCGATTGGAATATTGTGGAGATAAGTCTAGGTTTATGTGTTAAAGTGAACTCTAAGGATAAGTGAATAGCTGTGATGTTTAGAAAGATGTTCCCCATAGTCTGTCTCCACGAGAATAATAATAATAAAAAGAATGCACACACACACACACACACACAATGCCGGCTGTCTGTGTTCTCTTACCACTGTTCCTAATATTTGTATATAATAGTTTTGATTCTGCAAGTAAATGTAAATCATGTGTTGTGAAAAAAAAAAAAGAGTTCACCTCCATCTCACTGGAGCTGCTACGTCCTAAATGTCTTTTTGCTACAATGCCAACTTGCTAGTCCTTAACAAAAGCAAAGCTCGCTAGTGAGATTCCTCAGGTGTGGAGGGGCTAGTGTACCCGGGATCACCTACTTCCCCACTCCTTGCCACACATATGGCATGAGGGGTGACAGCATACACTGCATTGGGAACTACAAGACAGGAGACACACAGTGAAGCTGGCAACCACTGTGTCCCTGTTGATGAAGCCCTGGCCCCATCTGCTAGTCTTCCTGAGCCAGAGGAAGCAGCTCTCATGCTGATCACATGTGGTAACATGTCTTCCTGTGCAACTGCCCTGACCACCTCTTTATCTGTTCCAGTGCAAACCACTGTCAAGTGTGGGGGTGGAGGTTACCCACACTGGATCTGGGAACCAGTGATAGCATGGCTTCACCCAGAGGGCCTGAGATCTGCAGCTAATAAGAAAGCCCCAAGGAACTGGAGCTCGTAAGACCCTGGTTGGCCTCAGTTGATGAAGAGGAGAGGAGAGCATAGGAGAACATGGGCAAGGGAAGAGAAGGACAGGGGAGGGACCCTGGTACTATGCTTGGAGTCAGATTTATCTCCTTGATCTGGTGTGTAAACATTCCACCCTGCAGTAAGCTCCTTAAGAAAGAAGGTAAACAACTTAAAACAGCTTCAGGAAGTCCCTGAAACTGACAAGATTCACTAGGCTCCTCCCTGTCAGAGTAGGCACTAACAGCTAAGAGTGCCTCTCAGATGGACAGAAGCTGAGCTGCACTGAAGACTCTCAGGAGAGAAAAGCTGCAAAGACTCCTGAGACCAGACCAGCTGCCCGGAAGAAGCAGAAACCAGCCAAGTCGCCTGGGTGAGGTTCAGGCCTAATGAGGCACCAGGACACTCTGCAGGCTATGCAGCACGCTCCAGGTTCCCAGCTCTGTGAGCTGCCACCCATGCTTTTGGTGATGCAGCTGTCTTTGTTTCTGCTGCGGCTGTAACCCCTCACCCATATCCCTGTAAGCAACCCCAAGAGAACTCACTGATTCATCAAAGTGGACTTTTGTGGCATGTGTACTTTGGTCTGTCATGGGATCCCTATCTGGGGTGAGTAGATGTGTGTGCTGTGTTCCCCCACGAAAAGTTCTGGGAGTTTCATCTCCACGGTGACAGACTGACTGGAAGGGTGGACACAGCTCGATGCTGGTGATCAGTTTGAGGCAGGAGACCATTAGGTTAGCTAGGGCCAATGAGGTGGGATTACCAAAGCTTAGAAACCCTATAAGGAGAGACCAGAGACACGGGTGCTCCCTGGCTCTGACCCAAAGCCAGCAGCAGATGTAGCCCTTGACCCTTGGACTGGAGCCATGAGCCAAGACAAGCCTCTGTTTAATAAGGTCTGTGGCATGCAATACTGCAGGATGAGCTATAGCCATAGACTCCTGCAGCTAATTAAAAAAGGTGGTATTACAAAGTTTGAATGTGTGTATGAGATATGTACTACACAGGCAAGGTTTTCTGAAGCAACTGTTTCTTCTTAAAAAGACAAAAATGCAAACATATATAACATGTCTTAAGTACAATATGTATTATAATATGGCAAATACATTTTTCAATTATGTATAAATGTGTGTGTATATATATATATATTCCTCCCAGTGGAAATGAAGCCTCAGGCAAGTGACCAGAAGGCTACTCTGGCTACAACTGCGACCTGACACAATGAACAGACATACATGTCACCCGCCCAAACTGGACAGCTCTCAGTCCTTTGTTTCTTTGCTAATAAAAACTGGCTGAAGGGCTAGGGATGTGGCTCCTTGGTGGTGCCTTTGCCGAGCATGCTCGAGGCCCTGACTTCCTGTAACTGGAAGAGGGGGAAATGAGCCACTGAGGACTTTGATCAGGAACAGGTTTAGGCTCCGAGAACACGCTTGAGTTGGATAAAGATCTCCCTGTGTGGGACCCTGCAGCAGGGGAGAGGAGAGCTGACAAGCTGAGTGCATCAGGACACAGGGACATTGTGTCTGTCCCTCAGGAGTAGTGGGGACACCGGAGTTTAAAGAAGTGACACAGAAGTGATTTCTGCGGCAGTGAAGGGCTGTCTGGTTCAAGGGGGCTAGTTTTGATTTACATACTAGTTTTGATTTTCTTTCCCTCCCTTCGGGGTCCACCTAGTCACTGCAGTAAACCGCACTAGGCAGTGAGCAGCCCGAGAGTGCTGGGGCCCCAGTGCTATAATATGCAGAGGAGCTGACATCCGGGTTCCCTCATTAAGCCTAATTGTCCTCTCCACATTTCTTTCCTCCTGTAGTCTCTGAGAGGTGCAGAAAACACGTCAGTTCCCGTGAAGGGAGATGGGTAATTGCCTTCCATAAGCCAGCTTAGAAACTTGTCTGGAAATTATTACTCTTTCACTATCAGGCGTCTCCTGCCTCAAACCCATTAGGTGTGTTTTGGGGATGCAACCTCCTGAAGTGGTCTGTCTTTTTAGAAGGTGGCTCTGCACTGATTTGGGCTAGGAGACCAGACCCCTCATTAGCATGTGGAATCTCTTCAGAGGGCTCACCAGGGCTCTGGCTGGCTCCAGTAAGGATCCGATGCCAAAGGGCTCCTCGGAGCCGCATCCAGATCAATACTGGGAACTGGCCTTCTGGGAAATCACTAATGGTCTGTGGGAAATCACGTGGTGCATTAATGAAGAGCTTCACAGCTGTCCTAGGATCCCGAAAAAGGATAGCCAGAGGCCAGGTGTTGGGACCGAGCAGCTCCTTCCCAAGCCGAGGGCTTTTCTTGCTGCATGGCAGGAGGATGGGGGCCATCCTCGCCCTTGCATCTGCCCATCTCCAGGCTAGGAATGAGGGGTGCCCTGGCCCACCTGTACCTCATTTTCCCCAGACACCAGCCAACCTCACAGCAAACCACAGCTGACGTGTGATGCATCTGAGATACTCGTACTACACAGGATATGTGTATGAGACATGGACTACACAGGATATGCGTATGGGACATGTACTACACAGGATATGTGTATGAGACATGGACTACACAGGATATGTGTATGAGACATGGACTACACAGGATATGTGTATGAGACATGTACTACACAGGATATGTGTATGAGACATGTACTACACAGGATATGCGTATGGGACATGTACTACACAGGATATGTGTATGAGACATGGACTACACAGGATATGTGTATGAGACATGTACTACACAGGATATGTGTATGAGACATGTACTACACAGGATATGCGTATGAGACATGTACTACACAGGATATGTGTATGAGACATGGACTACACAGGATATGTGTATGAGACATGTACTACACAGGATATGCGTATGGGACATGTACTACACAGGAAAGGGGCGACACACACACATGGGGTAGCTTTTGAACAGAGAGAGCTGTGTGAGGCAGGGCAAAAAGGAGAACTGGAGGCTCAATCACTTGGAGGGCCCCCGCCTCTGTTTTGTCTAGTCCATGTGATGAACCATCACCACAGCAACACCGTCTCTCAGCCTCTAAGATGCCCACTGTCGGTTGTATTTTGGTCTGGCACTGCAATACGGCAGGAGAATGCTGTTTATGGCCAGGTTCATCCAACGTCTAGGCTCTTAGTGAGAGGGGACGACGGCAGGTGCATGCCAGTGTGGTGTTTGCAGAGGACATGAGATCCTGTGATCACTTCAGAGTTACAGGTGGTTGTGCACTGCCCGGGGTGGGTGCTGGGAACCGAACTCTGGTCTTCAGCAAGTGCTCCCACCACTAAGCCATCTCTCCAGCCCCATTATTTCCTTCAAAGACAGATTTAGGGTGTGTGTGGGGGGAGAGACAGAGAATATAAAAAGCAAGCAGACATGAATAGCACTGACTCAAACCAGCGGCTGCAAAAGTCACACACAGGCAGGTGAGTACTGAGGTCAGGGCAAAGTTCACATGGAGCCTTGTGACAAAGTGACAGACCAAAAATGGCTAGATGTGAGTCCAGCCTACTAAGTGGCCTCAGTGACCTAGGGGGATGAGGAGCCAGAACACCTCATTGTCAATGAACTTCAAGGCCTGCAAAGTCTCAGGGCCTAGCTCAGCTCTGGCCGGCGGGTTTCTATCCAGAGGCAGCTCAAATGTCACTTCTGCCCAAAGCCGACCTGGCTGCCACCGTTGTTGGCTGACCCTCTCTCCCTATGTTTGCTATTCCATTCTCACAGCTGCTCTCTCATTTGCCAATCGCCACCTCCCTGGGGACAACTCCCTTCCCCTGTCACTGTCACCTGTGTGTATACAGGAGGAAGTCAGGTTTCCCCGCTGCACCACTCCCCCGAGGAGGGGTTGAACTGGCTCATTTTAGGAGAGTGTGGGACCTTAGCAACCATTACCCAAGCCAGTAAGTCTACCCATTTATCAAGGATTTGTAATGAAAATGTTCGTAAAATATGGAGGTGGTTTGAGGTGGTTTTACTGGCAGCAGCGGCGTAAAACCGCCCCAGAGAAGGTGCAGGAAGGGCGTCTGGAAGAGGAAGACAATGACAGCTGGAGGGCCAAGCCAGCCTCAGGAGGCCCTGGGAGGAGGTGGTTGGAATCTCTGGGTGTATGGGACCCTGGAGGCCATCCCCACCCCCAGAGAGGACAAAAACATCCAACACAGAGCTCAGAGGAACGCTGGTGAGGGCGGGTCTGTGCCACACAGATGCTCCCTGAAGGTTCTGCCGGGGAGACAGGCCCAGATTACAGAAGCAGTGCAACTCAGGAGCAGGATAACAGGAGAGCAGGTAGGGCTACTGAGCCTGATTGCATCAGCAGGAGGCTCCCTGCCATCCTATAAGAAGGTGCTGGGCTTCATCTTATGTAATTTTTTTTTTCCTGGAAGGAAAACAGCATGAACTCCCCAAGGCTGCAGATGGCTCCAAGTTCTGGGTGGTGAAATGCCAAGCGGATGGCAGCGAGCAATTAGGAATTTATGGAGCATGCAGGAGAGGTGGGGAAAATGTCCCCATCTAGACACGTGATGGGGCGTATGAGCTCAGCTGTGACCTAAGTGGGCAGCTGCATTAGGCCGGCCTCATGAGAGCAGATGCTGGATTTGGACACTCATGCAGGGTGGACAGAGTGTGGACCAACAGGTTGTCCAAACCTGCCATCCCTAAGTGTGGGACCTCAGTCACTAAGTCTTTTCAAGCCCCAGTATTTATAAAATGGAACTTGAGGACCACAACTGGAGAGGTGGCTTAGCAATTAAGAGCTGCTCTCCCAGAGGACCCAGGTTTGATTCCC